TTGGTACTTTAAAAGACAATCTGTCCACAATTTTATATATGTATATATATATATATATATGCATGCATGGACTAAGTTATGTCTCAGATATATGGAATGTCAGCGTAAATGTAATGCATCATTATATCCATTCATTTGGCTCTGAAGTTTTTATGAGAATAGTGCAGATAATCGTTTGTTTGAATGTGAAAATTCCTAGCTTGTAGATCTAGTGAACATTCATATGTGGATGCACGTTCATAGTGCTACAGATCTGACATTGATTTCCCTCGAATTAGGTATCGTTACTTCTGAAGGAGAGTTTCATCGACTCATTTCCTAGTCGCGATCGACCATTTATGAAGGTGCGTTCTTTGAGATAGTTTTCTTTTGTCTATGAGAGTAATAAAATTGTCAAAGAAAACATAAATCTAAGCTCTGAAAGAGGCGTAACTTGGGTCAAGAATGGATAATGTTCGTTTCGGTATTCCGTGTTTGTATGTTGTAATCAATTTATGCAAGATAAATATTAACCACCTTTTTGCTTTATTTCTGAAAGTGACTTGTAATCTTGCTTCAATGCTTACTCTGGGTGCGCTTTGAGTTGTATCGTATAAAGCTGAAGGCACACTGATGCATCATTTTCCTCCCTAAATGCTATGCAGCTTTTTGTGGACACACAAATGTTTTCTGTACATACGGATCTCGTTCTCTCCTTCTTCCAGAAGGAATAGTGCCGCTGCCATGCAAGGTCAGGCCTTGTGTTATATTTTCGTGTTGTAAACCTGAACGCAAGTTCAGTAGTGTTACATCATAAGTTCCATCATTCATGAATTCAATCTTTGTTTCTTGAGATCATGCTTCGCATCTCCGAATGAAAAGATTGTCCGCTTTGCTGCATATTGTACCATGATGAATCTGTATTTTAACATATGAGAGACCTCAAAAGAATTATCCCGCTTTAATTGTAAATAGTAATTTTGTCTATTTATTTACTGCCACCAGTAGCGAGATTTTCCGTTGGCTTATTTGTTTGATAAGTAAGACATGGTCGATTCATCTGCCAAAAGACACCATGTTTGGGTATATGTCAATTAGTATGCCTAACCAAACCATGTTTGGTCCTGCACTTCGAGATTTTGGAATGGCTGAAAGTGCTTTTGACGCTTTCGGATAATCCAAAAGCATTTGAACTTGGTAAATTTTGTTGTGCTTCTGTGAAAGGAATTCTAGCAGATGCACTTACGAACAGAAATACTTTCTACGTAAGATTGGAATTTGTAATATTTTGTTTTGTTGTGCTTTAAATTGAAATATTTTTTAGCGGATGCGGTTACGAGCAAAAGTACTTGTTTGCTCACTAACTTCTGAATGCAGTATAATTGTGGTCTGCCCACCAGTGCATAGGGACATTTTAAGGGATGTCTTGGCTCAAGTGGGATCTTTGTACAGAAAAAATGCATGTGTTGGCCCGCCATGTGAGGTAGCAACAGTGCCAGACAGTGCAGGGTACTGCATTGTGCTACTTCCTTCCAAACGTACAACAGAAAAATAGTTCCAAGAGAATTGAATGGAACCAAACTATAGCAAACTCTCTTTAATACATTGGCTTTTTTTTTTTTTTTTTTTAACTCTAACTTTTAACCCCAAGCTTGGGGACTTAATACTCGGGATGTCAGTGTGGCGTTGTCTGAAAATGTTAACGACTATCATGTGAAATAGATATGCTCGTAACAATGCGTCATTGACTTAAGATATTGCGACTTGAAAATCACAAGAGTAGGTAAGTCCATCTTCTTAGCATGCTCACTTGATAACTACTATTTTTGAAACAAGATTTGTTTCAAGAGATATGATTTCTGCCCTTGTTTTTTTCCTTCTGCACTCCTCTGTTTTAGCTGTTAGGCCATCTTCATTCGAGAGCTATATACCACATTTTGCCCGAATTTATATGTAACATGTCTCCAGCCAAGGGGCAAAAGCCAATTTGGAAAGATTTAGCAGTGCAAAGTTCGAGATTGAAAAATTCATTCTTACAAATATTCTTTAAAATAACAATTTTTAAGAAGCTAAAATATATGGAAAAGCTACGTTTAGGACTTCATAACTGGACATGGCCTTAGATCGAATAAAATTGAGGGAAGGAAAACAACATAAACTAAGGAGACGTACGGAAGGTAAAAAAATAGGAGTTTGAAAATCATTTCCTTTTGTTTCAAAACTCAATATATGGTTTTGAGATGTTATTTATATTAGCAACCCATAAAATGTTGAAGCACCCTATATTAAAATTTAATATTAAATGACTTATTTACCCTACAATGTAATGACAATTTTGACCTTATTAGGTTAAAAAAAAATTATATATACCCCAAATCACTGTTAACGTATTATTTATCTTCTTCAACTATCAAAACCCCTCCGACCCTCCATTATTGAATAAAACCCTAACCAATGAAACTACAAACATGTTGATTGAGAAAATTTATTTTTGACGAATGAAACATGAAATCGATGTTTCATAAACTTCACATGAGGTAAGACTTCATATTTTTTATTGTTTTAGTGATTTTGACGACATTGATAATTATTTAATTTTGCTTTTGATGTGTTTTTCAAGCTTCTATATTCGTATTCATCTTTTAGGGATTACATGGATTATTAAACACTAAAATAACCACCAAATATTAAAACCAGACAACATGGATTTAATGGTGGAATTGAAAACAACCAACATATGCCTTAAATCTCAGGCGGCATCTTTTGTCAAAATTCCAATCGGCATTTTTTGGCCAAATTAAAAGCTTTATAAGATTTGAGAAATATGGGGTGCACATAAAATATGGGGTGCATGTAGAAAATGTAAGGTGTATATTAAGAATGTGGGGTGTGAGGGTATTACGGGGAAGTAATGTGGAGTGTATTAAGATAATTTTTAATTGAAAAAGCAAATATGAGATGTATTAAGTATGTAAGGTTTATTCAACAATTTGTGGGATGTTAATATAATAAGCCTTTTGAAACCCCAAGTAAAACTATAACAAATAACTATAAGAACAAAAAAGGAAAGACTTTCACTAATTTGTTTACAAACTTTGGGTCTGTGGGTGATGTTATCTAAATCAGAGAACCGTCGTCTACTGTTGAAATTTCATCATCTAGTAACTTGCATGCTCTACGGTTACCTTGGGTTGGAGATATTTTTCAATGTGTTGGAAATACGATTCTAATACATTAAGTATCATAATACAAGTAGTTGATACTTAAAAAAAAAAAATTCAACCACTTACAACAACGTTTGGTTTGCCGGACCGTATTGCGGCACATTGAAAAAACTCTCCATGAGTTGGACGGTACCTTATATGGAGGGACCAATTCGGAGTTCAGATTTATTTTTTAGAAAAATGAGTTTCATTTCATATTTTCTTGCTAAAATAAAATAATATACATATGTTCATACTTAACCTGTATACAATGTCCTCCTGCTACCCCATTTATTGAAAACTTAATATTTCAGCCAGAAAAAAAAAATTCAAGCAAAGAGTTTCTTATAATTTATTGTTTTAAAAAATAATTGTAGTTATTTCCGTAAGAAATTAATCCAATGAGAAACCACAAAACAACAACAAAACTTTTCATTTGAATTAGTAATAGTGATACTTAACCATATTAAGGAAAGTGATTCCCGAACATCATTTTTCTTCTCATTTATATTCCTATTTATTTTCAGCTTTGAATTTAATAAATTAAACGAGAATAAACTGAGATTAAAAACAAAGGCAAATGTGCAAATGAACAAAGGAGTGTGAATCATTTTGGAAAATTAATGATGTTAGCACTCTCTCTTTAGCATGGTGCACTTCTGTGAGGTGCTACAGATATTGAAAAATAATCAACTTAAGTGCATATGGTTTCAAGAAGAGGGTCAAAACCGCTACGCGTGTTGGAGATGACAAATCAACTCATTAAATTTATAACAAGTTACTATTAACACCTGTTTAATTTGATTAAAAGAAGAGCGTCGAACCGCTCTGGTCATAAAGATCAAATCAAGGATTATGGTCTGCACGCTTAGGCAGAAAAAAAGTTGAATGAAGAAGAAGACAAGCCAACGAACAGTGTAAAATCTGAACATTTTAAGCAAAGCAAAAGCGATGAAACCATAAAAATATCACAATAAAGTTCAAGAAAAAGATAAAGAAAAAAGGAAAGATGGAGGGGGTAGGAAGTAAAGTGAGGGTGAGTTGCTGGTGTATTTGATCAGAGAAAGCAGAAGCCAAAAGCGGACCTGCTGCTCTGAAAGCTGAATCACTGAGGTTTTTCTAAATTTCCGAAAGAGAAAAAGGCCAGATTGTAAGTGGGGTCTCTGACCCTTCTGAGGTAAAGGAACAGAAAAGAAAAGAACAGTAAAAAGAGTTAGTAGCTGAGTAAAACCCCCAACACCGTACAATCACTGCTCAGACCTACCCAGACGCACACACCAACTCTATAGTGTCTCTCTCTCTAGACATAATAATATTAAGGAAAGTACTCGACTTCTTGTACAGTAAGCATTCTTGGGTTTTTGCAAATCACAGTTTGATGTGTGTTGAGATTTTTTCTCTGTGTTTGTAGTGAATTATTTTTGGCATGTGTAAATTGCAATATACATAAATGAAGTTCGTTTCTACGCGGAATGGTTGATTATCTTTGTAGTTATAGTATTTTTTTTTTAACTTATTGTGTTTTGAATTCAAATATTATTACATCTTCTTAATATAAATTAACGTAGAATATCGTTTGTAATAAGAATTGATTCGTTTCTCAGTAAATCAATCAATATATCAATAAATAAGAAACATTATTTCCCTTTCACTTGTTTTCTCCGTTGCTACTTACTAATTTTTGCTTTTGAACTGAATAAGTAAAAACACTCAGAGAAACAAAAATAACCAGAGGTGTAAAAAAGGAAAATAAGTTGTGAAAAACATCATTTCTACTAATGATAATGAATTTTTCCCTTCATTTTTATTTATTTAAAGTCTTCACAATTGATTTGTTTATATATTCACTTGGCTTTATGGATTTCTGTAGAGTTGTCAGAGACAAGAGCTGACACAGAGGCAGCAGCTTAGCTGAAGAGTCAGAAGCAACAGAGGTGCAGTCATAAAATTTGCAGAGTTAGAGAGAGAGTTTGGAGAGAGAGGTGGCAAGTGGCAATGGCAATGGCATGCAGCAGAGGCAGCGGCAGCACTGTAATCAGAACCATTAGTTTTATCCATGTACAGAAAATTCTGCAGCTCTATGGTCCCTGAAAATAAATATACCTATCACCTACTCTACTCTCTCTCTTTCTCTCTCTCTCTCTAACCCTTCTCTCTTTTGTTTCCGCACTCTAAAATCGGAAACAAACCAGTCTCTGGTTTCATCTTTTCTTTCTCTCTTCGTCTTTGGTTTCTTTGAAAAACCAAGCTCCTTTTGATTTGGGAAATAATTAAAAAAAATATGAATAGCACTGGAAGAAACAGCCGGTTTCCTTTCACTCCAACTCAGTGGCAAGAGCTTGAGCACCAAGCTCTTATCTACAAGTACATGGTTTCTGGAATCTCCATCCCTCCTGATCTCCTCTTCTCCCTCAAAAGAAGCACCTACAACTTGGACTCCCCTCTCCCTCCAAAGCTCTTCTCTCACCACCCTCCTCACAGTAAGCTCCTCTCTCTCTCTCTAAAATGAAGGGAACTTTATACTTTTGACTGCATATTATTTCTGGGTTTTGTAAAAGAAATGGAACTTTGAAATTTTGAGTGCATAATATTTCTGGGTTTTGTAAGAAAAATGGAACTTCGAAGTTTTGATTGGATAATATTTCCGGGATTTGTGAAAAGAATGGAACTTCGAAGTTTTGTGAAGTTGAGTGCATAATATTTGTAGGTTTTCTGAAAAGAATTGAACTCTGAAGTTTTGAGCGGATAATAATTTTGGGTTTTTGTGGTATTTTCTTGCAGTTGGATGGAACTGTTTCCAGATGGGATTAGGGAGAAAAATAGACCCAGAGCCAGGAAGGTGCAGAAGAACAGACGGGAAAAAATGGAGGTGCTCAAAAGAGGCGTTTCCGGATTCGAAATACTGCGAGAAGCACATGCACAGAGGGAAAAACCGTTCAAGAAAGCCTGTGGAAGTTCTGAAAACATCTCAAATTTCAACAACAAACTCATCAGACACTTCAACAATTACCACCAGAATCAACACTTCTTCTGCTTCTCCAAGTCCTGCAGCTTTTCATTCCCTTTCATCATCACTCTCTTCTCTCTCCTCTGATTCCCACGCTTACCCTTTCCTCTATCATCATAACTCACCTTCTCCAAGGCCTACTGGAATCGGATTCCCACATCAAGAGAGAAGCACTACTTCCTTGTTTTTGGACTCTGGTTCTTATCCCCAACCCACCCAGCTCAGATTACAGGTTTGTCCCAAAAACAAAATTATGGTACTTATTTTTCTGTATCTGTTTAAGCATTTTAGGCCAGTTGGTAAGGGCGGTGTGTTTGTCCTCACTGTTTGCCCGTCCTTTAGGCCGGTTGGCTAGAGTAACGTGCGCGACTTAGGTTTAAGTCAGTTGGTCACGTCAGTGTGTACGTCTTTATTTATTGCTCGTGGGTTTAGGCCAGTTGATCAGAGCAATGTGACCGTCCTTGAGTTTATGCCGGTTTTTGGGGTTACATTGGTTGGTCACAGCAATGTGTTTGGTCTTGACTCTTGAGCTTGTTTGCCCTCTTTGTAAATTAGAGTAGTTAAAATATCGTCAGGTCAAGAAAAACTTACTGATGGTAGTTGTGATTTTTTTTTTTTTGTTACGGATCGAGAAGAAACAGGTATGCTTATGGGATGAAAGAGGAGGTGGATGAACATGCATTCTTCTCTCAGAGCCTTCAGGCACAGTGAGAGGCTTCTCTGGCTCTTCATCCATGGACGATTCCTGGCAGTTCACACCGCTCACAATTAGTACTTCTTCGTCTTCGAAACAGAGAAGCTGCTCTGCTTTTCAAAGTGATCAGCAGCTTCAGAGCATCAAACATCAAAAGCAAGATCATCATCAGCAGCAGCAGCATTACTATGCTTTGGACAGAAACGAAGGATCCCAGAAGACCATTCATCGATTCTTCGACGAATGGCCCCCGAAAGATAAAGATTCATGGCTCGATTTGGATGATAAATCATCAAACAGCGGATCGGTTTCTACAACCAGGCTCTCAATCTCCATCCCTACTTCTGCTCATGACTTCCCCATCTTCACCTCAAGACATCATAATAGTAAGCTGACTTCCAAATGCATTTACTTTTGAATTTGTTTATGATATAAGCAATCTTTACTCTAATCCCTTAAATTAACTTAAACTCCGCAAGAAGATTCGAACTCGGGTGCATCTGCTTTAGCTTATGTGGCTACGCTCACGTCGGTTAATTAGCCAATACATTGTTCATGATTATTCAGATCCAGTTGAGATCTTTGTCTAATTATTTCCATTTGTTTTTTCGCAGATGACTGAGTTTTCCAGTACTGGTTTTCTGAACCAAAGGCCAAAAATGTACTTGGTGTCACTATTTTATTTTATTTTTTATATTTTATTTAATCATGTCTGAATGTGGTTGAATCAGATAATTGTGTTAAATGAAGGATCCTAAGTGTCTCTCTGGCAAACTTGTGTTTTAAATGGGTCTGCCAAATATCTGGTTTCTTTGTTTTTTGGGTACATTTTTTTTGATGTTTTGTGTTGTTTGAAGACATAATTGAGGAGGGGACCCAAATGGACCCAAGATTTTGGCTAAAAAAAAATACTTTGTCAGTGGTGAATCTTGAGCTTCCCCACCCTGGTTATGTTGGCAAAAGAGTGAACTCCAATCTTTCCTTGTAAATCTTTAAACCAAAGGCTACAAGCATTCATCACCCTTAATATCCACCAGCTACTATACTTGGAAAATGACACCTCATCACAATGGAGTCATCTCTCATGCTCTCTCTTTATGTATCCCTCCTGTGTGCCCTACTTTCGTTTTTAGCACATTTAGAAATGTTTTTGGATGGCTAAAAGTAAAAGTAGGGCACGTGAGGGGAGAGAGAGAACATGCGAGAGAATTTGACTCCATCACAATGGCTTTGCCCTCTTTTCTTGTGGCAGAACTTCGAGTGGACTGTGTAATCAGGAAGTTTTCACAATAGGGCGATCAACGTGGAGATGGAATCAACTTAAATCAAGATACATGGGGTCTTATACTATGATACGAGTTGCCTTACAAATGACGCGGTCTGGATGCATCTACACAAACCTTTTCACCTTTCTTGAGAGCTAGTACATTTTCCTCTACCATGGATGTGCCTCCTCTTTCATTGGGAAACTTTATTAGAGTTCTGACTAGAGCACGGTCGCACCTAGTGTGACCAACATGACTAAAATACACAAAGTTCCATGCTTTTGTGGAGAGTTGACCTACTAATGACATGGTTCGAGTGTCCATTCACAAGTCTTCATTTCTTGCAAGGGTCTGAAAAATATTTAGCTTCGCGATTACTTGTTACAAATAAATTACAATTTGACATGTGCTGTGCAATGAGTTTACACTTCCACGCGTGCAACACTGAGATTTGCAGATCTAAGAAAACGATACTTTACATTCAAGTTAGCTCTGTTTTACCTTTTTTAACCTTTTGTATTTCCATATATGCTCAGATATTTATGGGTAAAAGAAACCAGAAAAAAGAAAACGACAAAGTAAGTGGAAAAGGAAAAGAAAGAGATACACGTGCACTGGTAATACATTTTATATTTAAAAAGTATAAAATATGTAAAAAAAATTATTTTAATCCTTGGTAAAAATAACTTTTAGATTAAATGTAACATCCCACATCGTCCAGGGGAGTGATCCTTAAATGTATATTTTCATCCCTACCTAGCACGAGGCCTTTTGGGAGCTCACTGGCTTCGGGTTCCATTGGAACTCCGAAGTTAAGCGAGTAGCGCACGAGAGCACTCCTATGATGGGTGACCCACTGGGAAGTTCTCGTGTGAGTTCCCAAAAACAAAACCGTGAGTGGACCCCGGGCCGGGATGTGACAATTGGTATCAGAGCCTAACCCTAGCCGTAGTGTGCCGACGAGGACGTCGGGCCCCTAAGAGGGCTGGATTGTAACATCCCACATCGCCCAAGGGAGTGATCCTTAAATGTATATTTCCATCCCTACCTAGCACGAGGCCTTTTGGGAGCTTACTGGCTTTGGGTTCATTGGAATTCCGAAGTTAAGCGAGTCGCGCACGAGAGCACTCCCATGATGGGTGAGCCATTGGGAAGTTCTCGTGTGAGTTCCCAAAAACAAAACCGTGAGTGGACCCCGGGCCGGGATGTGACAATTGGTATCAGAGCCTAACCCTAGCCGTAGTGTGCCGACGAGAACGTCGGGCCCCTAAGAGGGCTGGATTGTAACATCCCACATCGCCCAAGGGAGTGATCCTTAAATGTATATTTCCATCCCTACCTAGCACGAGGCCTTTTGGGAGCTTACTGGCTTTGGGTTCCATTGGAATTCCGAAGTTAAGCGAGTAGCGTACGAGAGCACTCCCATGATGGGTGACCCATTGGGAAGTTCTCATGTGAGTTCCTAAAAACAAAACCGTGAGGGCGTGGTCGGCCCAAAGCAGACAATATCATGCTACGATGGTGGAGCGGGCCTGGGATGTGGTGGACCCCGGGTCGGGATGTGACATTAAAACTATGATTAAAATCAAAATATAATTTTAATCACTTGATACATTAATAACCACATTTATTAATTATTTTTTAATTTTTTCTCTTTTTCTTCCTAATTTTTAATGTATTAATTTTATTTCATTATAATTTTCATTTTCATTTTCATTTCATTTATCGTAATATATTTTGTTGTAAACATGAAATTCATTATAATACTGTGAACACGAAATTTTCCTGAAACGAAAGAGACAAGAACAACGTGCACAAACAAATATTTGTATTTGATGATTTTGGGTTACAATCTCTCTCTATTTTGATCATCTGATTCGATCTCCGTAAGGCGTTGATTTGTGAATGTTTGATTGATCCAAGGGCCGTCGATGCTTGATCTTGGATGAATTGTTGGAAGTTTCTTCAAGGGGCCGTGGGCTTGATCTTTGAAGATGGATTTGAGCGGATCTTCAAGGAGCCGTTTGGGCTTGATCTTGAGGATGAGTGTTTCTTCAAGGGCCGTTGAGGCTTAATCTTGAATAACGGTGATGAGCGGATCTTCAAGGGCTTTTGGGCTTGATCTTGAAGAACAGTGATGAACGGATCTTCAAGGGCTTTTGGGCTTGATCTTGAAGAACGGTGGCTTGTTGATCCAAGGGCGGTCGGGGCTTGATCTTGGAAGAACGATGAATGAAGAACACTTTCTTCAAGGCGTTGGGGCTTGATCTTGAATTGGTGGATGATTGTTGATCCAAGGGTCGTCGGGGCTTGATCTTGGAAGAACGGTGGATGATTGTTGATCCAAAGGGCCATTGGGGCTTGATCTTGGAATAACGATGAACGAAGAACACTTTCTTCAAGGGCCATCGGGGCTTGATCTTGAATTGGTGGATGATTGTTGATCCAAGGGCCGTCGGGGCTTGATCTTGGAAGAACGGTGGATGATTGTTGATCCAAAGGGCCGTTGGGGCTTGATCTTGGAAGAACGATGAACGAAGAACGAAGAACGAAGAACGAAGAGAGCTTTCTTGATTCTTCGGGAACCTGGATGCTTGAGAGCTTCGGAGTTTCAGAGCTTCAGAACTTCAAGAATTTTGCCTAATGATTTTGGTTCTCCCCCTTTAAATGAATGAATTAGCCTTCTATTTATAGAATTTTCCAAGGCCTAATTTTGAATATAATATTCCAGATGAAATAAGTCGTTTCTGCCAGGTGTTGACACGTGTCCTGTTTGATGACTTTTCCAACTTATTTCGATTTTTTGTTTAGACGTACGCTACGTGTAGAATTTATGTAATACATGAGCGCTGAAACTTTGATTTATCAGTCAACATTTATTTACCGAAATTTCGATGTCTACAAATACATTTCGGTGCATACATTTTAGGTATACACACATTTTGGTACATACATTTCTATACAAATATTTAGGTACATTAATTCAATATAATACATTTCGGTACACACATTTATGAACATTAATTTAATATAATACATTTCGGAGCATATATTTCGGTACTAACATTTAAATACATTAGTTCAATATAATACATTTCGGTACTAACATTTAGATACATTAATTGAGTCTTTCAAGTTTGAAGAATGTTAAATAAAATTAATAAATTACAAAACTCTTTTTTGGTCAAAAAATAAAACCAAATTTTGTATGTTAATAAATTTAAATATTTAATGGGAGACATTAAATAAAATACACATTAATTATTTTAAATTAAGGACACATCAAAGAATTATAAACAATATGTAATCTAACACCATGTTTATTTTAAATTTCAATCTTCTTGAATGATTAAAGTTAAAAAAACCCCATACAATATGACAAACACTACATTTACAGAGATACAATATCTTGGTTGCAAAATTCAGTTTTTTTTTAAATAAAAAAAAAGAAAAAACAGAGCTAGCTGCCAATTCCTCAGGTATTAAATAGAATATTTATGTTGGATCCCAAGCATTTAAATCTTAATAATTTACAATTACGTCTTTTGTTTTTGTGAAATAAGACTAAACTCATGAGCTTATTATCCTAGGTCGGAACAAGTTGATAGGATCCCATTTTTTACATCCCAAATAGAGTCTACAGGTGAATTCTCATACGAAAAATCAATTTTCAGGCAGTAAGGTTTTGAGCCAATCAAGTAAGCAAGCACCTGTATCCGTCTCTACTGTCGCAGGTGATGAAGTATTGGGAGTAAGAACAAAGAGAAGTAAACTACTCAAGAATTTCACATTTCATTTATTTTCTTGGCTGTTGATGTGTCCTCCGCACAAATTTGGCACTTGCAGAAAATCATCTTCACTCTGTGAACAAAGATGTAGCAATTTGGGCCGTCTGCACTCCTAAATAAATAATTTACAAAATAAAAATAAAAAAGGATCGTGAAAATCATTGGCCACGAAAAAGAAATAGTGGGGAAAAAGTATAAAAAGTTGGAAAAGGACCCTTAAGTATTCTAATATTCTCTTGGATTTGAAGTTACTGAGTTGTAAAAAGTTAAATCTGCAGAAGCAGAAAAAAGAATGCATGGGCGTGAAAGTCGTCTAATCATAGAAACGAGGCATGGTACAGTAGCCTTTGTTGAGGGAGTGGGTCTGTGGTTGGAGATATAACTGCTTTTCAGATGGAAGTGCTTTCAGATTACAGCACTTTCAGAGAAGTGCTTTTCAGATAGATGTGCATGTGCACTCTCATGTCTCAATCGTCACATATCACAGAATCTGAGTGGTTTCATTTTGTCCATTAAGATGGTGTTTGTTGCGAGGGATTATCTCGGATTGGATTAGCTTCTGGGACCAAGCTGGATTGGTTTAGACTAAACTAAGCTGGACTGACTTAATCAAACGTTTGATGCAGTGACAGACGAAAAAAAAGATAATTAACAACTATAATATTATATTATTTAATACACATTCAATAATATTTTATTATTAATTTAATACATTTTATTCAAGCTTTTGTCCCTTTTTTTATGTGTCTAGAACACGCTTTGGTTCTGTCCCCTTTATTAATTCAACAATATTTTCATTTTTTATCCAACCTCTCTCTAAACTCTCTCTGGAGAGTTCTTTCTTTACTTCCTAGTTTCGTCCCCCATAACACTCCTTTTCTCCATCATTTGTGTTGCAAAACCACAACCTTCAAAATCGTTTTTCCTGTGCAAATTCGTCCTCAAAACTACTCTCTCCTCCGTCTCCGTCCT